ACTTTTTATCAACAACCATTCTTTTTTGCTACCAATATGGAATGTAGAAGTAGTATCAAAATAATTTTATGTAAAATGGGCGTACCATTTTGGCCAACCATTTCAGTGCTACTAACCAACAATGTCAGCTTGAAAGTATAGAAGGTAACTAAATCGGTAGCTGAAGTAGCGGCAACAGTATTTCCTCTGAACAGATATAAATCACGTTCACTTGCTAATATCATCAGTGAAAAGTTACAGTCTTTCAGACCACACCATTCAAATGTGATTTCTACTCAATTCAAAAATCATTACCTTGCTTACTACCATCCGAAGAGTTATACAACCTGTAATGTCACATATATTTTGGAGCTTCAGACGGCGTGGTAATTCTGCAATACTTACATTTCAAAACTATAGATTTGTAGTAAAGGTGTTCGAAATATTTGTTGAAGGCAGAGGGCAAAATAAATGAAGTTGTAAGACGCCAAACGAGTGAAGACTGAACCTTATAATATAGGGTTTATGAAGCTAGAAAAACAGATAGATAAAAGATAATACGGTATACTGACGAAGTTTGAATGACCACTTCTTTATACACATATATATATATAGTTAGTTAGTTAGTTAGTTAGTTAGTTAGTTAGTTAGTTAGTTAGTGAGATAGAAATAATCCTGACAGACTGAAGACGTCACACAAAGCACGCAGTAAGTTAATGAACTACGTGACTCGCCTATACAAAAGTGAAAACAGGATCATCCTCTGTAATTATCTGCCTCACCGTACCTCAGATTGAGCAAAGAAAAAGAACTATCGCATAATTAAAATGCCTATTCATAGAGCCTTTAGTCTCATATCTTTTCAGCGAAGGAAGATAAACTTAGGACAAAAAACGAGTCTGAAGTGAAAATAACTATTTTTTTGATGACTCGTTTTCACAGCTGAGTAAAATGAGTAAAATGGTAGAATGATCTCTATGAACAACATCACTCTGGCATTATTGAACCCACGTTTGTATGGTTTACCAGAACGTGCACAATGATGGCATCCCTCTCCATCCAATAATGGACAAGACTAACCCTCTGTACCACATCTGTGCAAAATGACTAGTGGCTATTCTTGAAGCTGTTAAGAAACCGCTCTTGAAGCACAGAGTTTTTGACATATTCAAGTCTTTTGAACCAGTCAAAGATATTAACCTGTCCGGAAGAAGGATGGTTTAACTGGACATCGTGTCAATACGTATAAAAGTACAAGTTACAGAACATTCTATCTCATGTGCAACTTTATCCAATCTAGAAATCTTGATGTTATCTATTAAGTCATTACATGAAAGAACTTTTAGATGCAAATTTACCGCTCACTTCTGACTTGACGAAATTTACTGAAAAACTAATAGCCTCTTGAACTTCTACTTGGCAACTGCCCCATGACTTGCAATGAGAACCGTATATAGCTCCCAATAATTGATCGATTTCATGTACATAAACGATGTATGAAAGATCCTTTCATTTGAATATTGCAATAACAAAGACATCGGCAGAATCAAGTGAGCTCATTTTATCTCACAGCTTTTCATCAGCTGCAAACAGCCTAAAACTAAGATGAAGTATTAGTAGTAATAATTGCACAACATACTTTATGTAGAAATAAATGGAGATTTTAAATCCAGGATTAACAATAGTGCAGTAAGTCAAGGAAACACAGGATATCAAATGGAAATTTATCACACCTTCAGGACTATCAAAAAAACCAAGAACTTAGTGTTTACTACAGTTTGTAGAAGAATTAGTCGTCAAACATTTTTAACCTGACCTATATACTCAGAAAGAGGCGGTAGTAAACCTTTCTTTACCCTGATTACTGTTTATAATTTTTTGCATTTGTTGGTACATAATCTTCCATTCTTTTTGAGTGGACCATAGTTTGACTAATTACTGACTGTTAGTCATTCAATTTAAATTTTTTTCAGTTTTTCACTTAATTACATAACCCACTAGCTCCTTAACAACCTCCACTTTTAAACTACTGTCTATTTCTTGTACCCTCTCTTTCCACAACTCAGGAATTTTCTGTCTTATCATGTAAAGGTTGCTACTGATTCCGAATAAAATTTGTGATTATTAATCTCGTGTTTCCTTGACTCACTACATAATTGTTAATCCTATATTTCAAATCTTCATTTGTTTCTACATATTTAAAGTATGTTGTGCGATTATTACTACTAATACTTCGTTTTGGTCGTAGGCTGTTTGCAGCTGATGAAAGGTAGTGAAATAAAATGAGCTCACTTTATTCTACAAATATTTTCGTTCTTACATTGTTAAAACTTTTCAAGGGAATTAAATGTATGGTACTCATATTGTTTGTATTGACAACCTGGATCTAATCCACCTTCTAAAATTAAGTGACAATCATCCGTCAGTCATGTTTACACTGGAAGCTGAATAAAACTAAACGTTTCATTTTCTCGAAGTCAAACTCCGAAGAAGGTTTGATAATGGGCGATTGGTCAACTTCCAAACTTGGGTGTCTTGAAGTAGGGGAAGGAAACTTATATTTTCGCTCACATCAAGAATAAGAGAGATGTGTACTGATGACTGATATTCAAGAATTGGAAAATCTCTGCAAAATACTTTTGGGGAGAAAATTAGGAAAAAAGAGAAGACTGTGGAACAGATTCAGTCAGCTACGAAGAAAACACCTTTAATGAACCTCAGATTCAGAGTTGATATTATCATAGAATTTTTGTCAGTGCTTATCAAATTCCCTAAGTAGAACATTTTATGCTGCAAACCTCAATAGCGTTCTCTTGTCAACAGCTGATTCGTCAGTGTATGAAAGACAAGTTGAGACGTGCCCATTAAGGTGGATTCACAAGTTCACTTACTCCCAAAGAGCTAAGTGCATCACCCGTACTCTGCAATGGCTTGGGGAAAACGTTCTTAAATACTACTCAGTCTGACTGTTAAAGGGTTAACACAAAACTTTCTCTAGCTCCATCGCTAAACGTTTCGTAGACTCTACATATCTGGTACCTCTGGAAACCTCATTCAAACTTCTCTCCAAAGTTTGATAAAACCGTTCAAAAGGAGTAAGGATCAGACACTTCTGTACATCCAACGATTCTGAAATTCCTAGATTCGAACACCAGTTGTGTCTTCAAAAGCAACATATACAATCACTGCCTTCACAGTAACCTTATGAAGATACTCTACGCCTCCATTTGTGTCTTTTTGTATTTTATTTACTTATTTATTCATTTAGCTTTACTGGATGCCAAATCTTACTGTTCATTGCATTTTATGAAAAATATTGAGACCGTTGCTCATGTTGCTGAATGACATTTCACTCTGTTTGTACATCCATCGAATAAGTTTGAGCCCTTACTTGAAAGTTGCCCAGAATATTTTATCCTTTTACCTCTATATTTACAAATGTACAGTTAGGAAAATGAGCAGTTGAAAAGATCGTTGGCCTCCTTCATTTTTCAGTAACCAAAAGGGGATAATAAATTTAATTAAAGGATGAAATGAGGACACCTCTAAAATGTGGAAGGTAGCAGGAGAAATCTAAAATGTAGAACTTTACACAGTTATATAAAATAAACAACACTGAGTGTTGGTTAATGACTGAATGTGAAATAAAACCCTTGGTGACGCCTTGACTCCAGTCAGTTATCTTAAGCTCACAGGTTTGAATGTCTACTGCTTGTGCTGCGAGATGCACCTGCTGAATAGGGGTTAAGACCCAGTTAATAGCTGAGTCCCTTAGTTCAGTTAATAAAGTACAAAGCTGGTTAGTTGGACTTCTATAATCCGAATCCTTCCGCCAGCCAGGGCTTTCTTTTATCTATAATCGTCCTCCAGTATGTATGATACCAGCTAGATAAACCATAATGCATGCCAGATATTTTCGCTGATTACCAAATAACTCAACTGATAGACTTTTAACTTGTATCGAACGATGTGAAATGGATGAGGATATAAGTTTTTTCTCAAGATGAGTTAACTATATACAGTGATGGAAACAAGAAAGAAACTAAAGTGATTGGTGATTGAATATCAGAAGATATAAACTCCTACTAAAACAGCTAGGCGAGTCGATGAGTTAGATGAGCATTTAATTGTTTCCTGAATGAAGATGACACATTTGTTTTAACGTGAAAGCTCCTAAGTATAAGTATTTGCAAAGGTATTAAACTATCATCATTCAAAAGTTTATAAATATTTTCATTCTGTAAATTAAGCAACGCTATTTATATTTACACTTTGACACTAGTCAGTATTAACCGTTGTGGGAAAGAATGCCAGAAGTATGCGCCCTGCCGCTGAAACACAAACAACTGAAAACTTTAGACTAATGAAAAGTTAAATTTGGAAGTTTATAACATATACTTTGCTGTTCAGTGTAATAAATTATATCTAGCCAGAATATAGAATATATTGATATATTCTAGGCATATGCACATAGTAATTCTCCTCTGCAACGTTAAATATGATTTACGCAGAGTTTTGTTCAGTGCCTAGATCACAGTAGTGCACTGTTTAAGTCAACCATGATTCTTTCACCGTAACCTCTTCCCCTTTCTAGAATGTCATGTACATACGGCTGTTACTGAAATCATCCTATTACTTACACCCGCATACACATCCATTACATACCTATAGACGCTACAAATTTGTCTAAGATTTCAATTTATTTTGTCTACCATTTCCTGGCTGCACCTTATAATTGGTTTAAATAAGTATACCCAATCACTGTAATTATATATATATATATATATATATATATATATATATATATATATAATAACTCTATAGAACAAGAAACTTTGAAAACATCTATTCATCTATTATCCCCTGTAAAGATTGACAACACAGTCACTAAACACAACATATTTCCCGTTCTCAACATACAGTAAAGAGAAACATTACTATATACACTTTTCGAGTTTTGCTTTCATTGTTGGTGTCTGCAGATTCAGAAGGTAAAATTCTGCACAGAAATATATCATCACATGTCTGGAAAAAAAATGGATTTATTTATTAAAGTGTTTGATTCCTTTGTATTGTTATCCTGCACAATTTTTACTGTTTTCATTTTCCAAACAATTGCAATTTGTAAGTAAAACAGTTTTCGAATTTTACAATGTAAACAGTCATAATGTTTAATTGTATAATTTTGGTCGGTTTATTTGATTGATCTACAGATTCAGTGTAGTATAAGGGGACAGTTCCTACCCTTTTGAGTACTATTCACTATTGTACACCTTTAAATAATATCACAATAAAGAGCGGTTTCCTCTCAATAAAAAGCAGAGAAGTTGGTTCTTTGAACAACTGATACTGTTTCTCATTAAATACCAAGTCACATTTTCATTGTAAATTAGTTGTTTCGAAATTGTGTGGAAATGGGCTCGGTAACTCTGGGCACATCTGCGCACTAGATAGTGGACCATACCTAGTATATGAGGGTTAATGATACTACCTGGTTGCCTAAACCAATGAGCCACAGCTTTACAGTCAATTTTTTAACCCTGTCGTAGAAATCTTAAAGATATAGATCATGAAAATTTCAGTTACGACAGACTGGATCCTTAACTCAAAGAATAACATGTTTCATCCACTATTACAGTGTGCAGCTGTATAATCCAGTAAGTTGTCAATATTGCACATAACAGCTTTCTGTAGCTATTGAGCGTACAGTAACCTTTCGATAGGTATCGAATTGCACTGAAACACCCATTCATTTCTATCATAGACCTGGATTTCACCAAGAGATGGTAGGTTAAGTAATCTACTATAGTAATTTTCAACTTTCATTTTAGAATTGCCTAAGATGGCTTCCTTTTTACAGAGTTAGAGGTGGTGAATGTTTTGGGCACTTAATGATAGAATGATTAATTCCAGTAGGAATTGATTTTCCAAGATGACTAAAGTAATAGACGGATAGTAGTGCAGTTATGTGTAAAGAATTATCTGCTTACATTTTAATTTGCAAATAAGGGTGGCAAACATGTCTTGATTCTAAAAAATATGAGAAACCGAAAATGTAAGAAAACGTCAGATGTCTTACCGTAAATATGTTTGATATAGTTTATAAATGATTAAGAGACTTGTACAAAAAACAATTTCACAGTCTACAACAGAAAGTGTAAATATTTTTGAAACGAATCGAATATTGTGAGTTCAGTTTTCTGAATTCGTTGATTGATACAAACAATAAATCTTAATATATACTTAATTGAAACGTTATTAATTAAGTGTGAATATTCTCCTTTTGTTGTTACTTCCCAAGTTAACAGAGACTTCATTATTCGTATTGCCTCATGAAGAAGCGAAAGTGTGCTTCCAAAATTCATTACTGGAGTTATTGGAACATTAAATCCAAAAAATTGTCACATCTTATTTTATTATTCATGACAGTTAAATTTGATCTGAAGTCAAAATGTCTGTAGCGTGTGTAATTTTATTTCGTTATAACAATATTCATGTGTATTTGTTTGTTAACTGCTTCATAGTTTTGCGATCAAAGGAAATTTACTGTCTCTGCAATACAGTTTACTTGAACCAGTTGATTAGTGGGATCCATATATAGAAGGTTAAATAGAATAAAGGTTGTTCATTTTTTAAGTGAGAGAGTACATTGTGACCGAATAATCAGGAGGCAATTTATTAGTCTCCTCTCTCATAAATCTTTTCAAAAATAAGGTAGAACAGAAACGCTTGCATGAGATTCAGGAAAGAGTTAAGACAAGTTACCTTTCGATGTTGAAGAGACCCCATTTAGTGCTTAGTCAACTGACTTCGATGACTGTATCTAGAATTATACGGTTAGTAGTCAGCAAGCGAAGAACCCATGGTATAACATTTCGTGTTGTGCGGACCAATGAACACAGTTGTTACGAATATTTGAAGCGGTTGGTGATAGCACAAAAATACAAATGTGCAACTCTGAGCATCTTTTAGAGTCTACGGTAGATAACAAGAAAGACGACTATATTTTCATGACTTATTATGGGCTTTCTATCATACTTGTCCACGAAATTCTACTATAATTTTTTTTAATAATCATTTGTATTTTGCTCGCTTAAATATTTTAGATATCCAACCGAATGGTAATTTATTGGGTGAACTTAAATTTACAAAACCGTGTCCCGAAAAGGATTATCGGTTTCATAATGGTAGGTTAAAGCAAAAGTTGGGAATGAAAATTGCTTTTTAAATCTGTTTACTGCGTAATCTGTGTACCACGTGTAATAAAGAAAAGTCAAATTATCGGGTCAACTAAACAAATACATTTAAATATACACAGTATGAACTACATCTGTCGCTTGGTACGAATACCAAGCTTAAATGAACAAGGCTGTAATCTAACTTCCTGGTGAAAAGTTGATTAATGTATACTTAGAATGACAAATCACAGTTACTTGCGAATCACTAGCAAACTGAGTAACGTGAGGACCTAAACACACAGTAAGTTTTGCAGGAAACTGAAGCTTGAAGCAAGATATACCCACAAACTTTATACCTAGCTTAGCTTACTGACTAATCGAAATGAAGTGCACATTCCTCAACCACTATGGCAATCTTAAACTAAATATAGATTTAGTGGGCATAAGGTTTTTGACCGTTTAAAGAGGTTTATTTTCGTAACATATATTTTTATGGTTGTGTTGCCGTTTAGTTTCGGCTTAAGTTCTCACACAAATTTAACAACTTTCAATGACTAAGTTTTGGTACAAACACTGTTGGTAACAAAGGGAATCAGTCAATGACCTTTGGATAACTGACCTAGAGTTGTACTGATAAGACCATAAGAATTCAACCACTTACTAATCTGTTTCATACTATCAGTCCTCCTTACTAAAGATCGTTCCGCTAACTAGTTTTGCAGGACCCCAAAACTGAAGGTCATTTTGTGACATAGTTTATCATTAATAATGTTGTCACACGACTCAACTCTCTTGATGTCAGTTTATCTTCTTCTATTCTAGGAGGACAGACAGTACCACCTATAAACACAATTGGTCTATCACAACCTAAATTTGTTATTGTTTGCTTTATTCAACTCTTCATCAACCCTTGATGTCACAAATATGATAAAAATGTGCATTTCTAACTCGAAAAACAGACCATCAAAGTAAACATCTGAAGAAGCAGTCACTTTTAAGACTACACTGAAAAGTTGAACTTTGTGTTCATTATTCCGCCAAAACCAGAGAAAGTAGAGACATATCATTTTATGTCTGGGAATCATTTTGATAGTTACAAAGATACAGCATTAGAAATAAATAGAACGGAATATACGCTTGAAATGGTGTTGGTTATTGGATTTACCAAATCATTCAGGATATTCGAACTTACTGAATGCCCATTTACTGCCTTCAAGTTTCAAAATTTCCCTTAATTAAAACAGTACTCAAGAAAACGAAAGGTGGTTGGTTGTTTATTGAAACCTGTTTTCTATCATATTAAAATTTGCGGTAAAAAATCCCTTTCATATGCAATATGAAATCATGTAACTGACCATCTAGCTTGGTTGTGGTGAAAATATCTGAAATGTAAATATTTGATACTTGTATTGATCATTCTCAATATCTTTTACTGCTATTCAGGACTGTCAGATTAAGGTACCAAGTCAAGATGGATAGTAAAAGCTTTTAACCAGATTCGGATCATTGGGCTCACGCATGGTTTCGTTTGTCGGAAGCATTCACTTTGTTTTGAGATTATTTTTAATCGGTTTAAGTTTACTGAAAAAAACAGTCATTATTATTAAAATGTTTAACCTAAAAGTTAAAATATTCGTAATGATCTAATAGTTTTTTGACTCAACACTTTAGCCTTACACCTAGTGACGGAGACAGTAATTCTGAAATTAAGAGTATGAAACAACTGGCTAATGAGTTGGTTAGGTCAGTGGCAATAAAGTCACTCCATTTGGTGCTTTATGGGGTTTATTGATCTCAAGGTGGCATTCATCGTGGATTGGCATCGGCTAGAGAAACATTGGAAACTTAGGATCACTTAACAGGTACTCTGTATTACTAAACGCTCCCTGTAGGGCACCTATATCTCTTCTGGGGGCCGAAACAGCTGTTCAGTGATCCAAGGTTTTCAAAGGTTCTCCATCTGGTTCCAGCCTGTGATGAATATGGCTCTGAAACCAATAATTTCACAAAAACTCTAAACTGAATTAGTGTCTAGTGGTCATCAGTGACTTGCTTTGAGATAAAATATCCTGAAGTTCCAATGAGAGATCGTAACTAGTGAATCAAACCAAATCGGATGTGAGGAAAAATACTCAGTGATTGCGTTGGACAAAAGTTTTGCTATGTTATGAAATGAAAAAAGTAATAAAATGTGAGTCGCTGGATTTTCTAAGGTGCTCGACACGAAACCTGAAGGTCCTGGATTCGATCAATGGTACGGTTGTCGATATGCACTGCTGGTGACGAAATAGCTGTCTACTGCTCGGAGATTTTCAGTGTTTCTGCAACTAATGTCAGTTCTTGATGAACATTACCTTCACAACAATAAGGTTATTAGTAGTATTCCGTTATAAAAATTCATGTATTGAATTGTATGAGACGTTTTCTGTTATGGTAAGTGTAAAACTTGGACACGGCAATAGAGTATAATTCCATATTAGGTTGCTTACTTGACATATGTACACTGTCTACTGTATCACTGTATACCACATAAATTTCTATTGGATGTAGATTGAAAAGATCTTGTATCCTCCGGTTCCAAAGCTGTACGGATCATATTCACTTCTTATACAGCATTTTGAGCGAATAAAAAGCAGCCTTTTTATGGGAGTCTACAGATTTCTGTGGTAGCAATTTCCGAATATATTGTTTAGTAAGTCTTCAGTTTCTTCGAAAGGGATCAGTGGTGCTTGATTTACAAATATTCAGTTGGTCAACTTTATACATTTAGACCAGTTAAAATTATCTGCTATTATGTGATACTGATGTGTTCGGTCGGTCAAAGTTTCAATCTAATAATTAGACCAGTTATGTGAACCATATCAAACTGCCTAATTTAAACAAGACAGTTTAGGTTATTTCTTTGAATATCTAGAGTGAAAAAAGGAGGCTTATAAAAGTACTCAAGTTACTCAAGTTACTCAAGTTGAAAACGGCGATTCGGTCAGTAAAAAGGTTGACATACCGTATCAGTGAAGTATATACCTGAATTTGTTAGGTATCTATCAAAAGCTGAAAAAAATTCACTTGGGAGGTTTGTGGGGATTTATTAGTTTTGCAAAGTAACGGTATTGAAAATGAATTATCTATTTATGCATAATAACTAGACAAACAATCTTTAGACCAAAGTTCTGTCACTGCTTTACACGCAAAATAAACTACTAACTTGCTTTATATTTCAATAGTTTCACTCTGATTTCTTTATTTGGTGAAATTTACTTGCAAGAACGAGTGATTTGGAAAAGTGATTTTGAGGAAGTGTTGTGACAAGATAACCTTCTTCAAGAAAGGTATGTTTTAAGGAAGCAGAAGAAAAGAAGTATCTTGGTAGACAGTATACTTATAGATGGTTATATATAGTTTGAAACAGCCTAAATCATAAACACAAATATCTGAAGTAGTAAAAGATAAGTGAAATTAGATTCTTTTTCTTGTTCTTCCATGTTCTATCATCCTTCGGTATGTGTGGTTAATTTCTGCTAGCTAGTGATATTTTATCCCTTCTACGGTGATTAAGTCTACTTAAGATGACTGAATTACATTGTTCATATTGCTGTTCCGTGGTTCATTTACCTCTTCTGTTTCTGTTATTCGAAATGGTTGTGGCTGTACTTTGAATCATAGTATGAAAGTAAATGTTAGTTGATTTGAGGTAGTTTGACAGAAACTTCTATTCGACCTGGGTTTCGCGCTTGCTGGCACTCGTCAAAAAGTCATATTTGCAACCCTTAGGGGACTGATGTCTCTTCCAAGATTCACACCCATGTAATTCAGTGCTGCAGTCACTGAAGTTACTACTGAATTACTTAAGTTGTGATGGTAGCATCGGTTCTCATTATTTGTTTCACATTACAGTACAAACTAAGATTATGTGAGTCAAGCAGATGGCTAAATTGAAACCTTTATTTTTAACTTATTCCATCCAAAGAATTATATATTCATGTATAGAGAAATTCAAAGGTTTTAGTTCAGTTTTGAGCGTCATAATACACGTTAACTAGTTTCTCTTTAATTTTTCTCTTATTTCCAAATAAACAGCTACAGGGAACTTTTTATGTGTGGTACCAACGGCAAAAAGATGCTTTGAATTATGTCAAAAATTAGGCTGTACTGAATGGTATTATATGAGTTTTATTCCATCAGGCAGTAAGGAGATTAAACGACATCATCGTTGCCGTTGCTTTCCTGAATACCGAATGTGTTTCTATAATGCTGTACCAAGACGATATCGTGATTTTGACTGAAAAGAAAGAAATATGCTTAAAATTCATATCTACAATACATTTTTGATTCTAGAGAAAATCATTGAAGAAAAATGTTTGCCTTGTATTTTCACTATTGCAGAAACATTTTCTAAGATAAACAGTCTAACCTCAGTAGTCTTTTCCACTGAATTATACAAACATGTATTATTTTATTAATTTCAGATTTCATTTATACAAAAACAACAGTTTGCCTTTCCTTTGGTCAAACATTCACTAACATATTCACATACTCATATACATCTTAGCTTTATATTATCATTGTTCATTTCGCTTGTTTTTATCCGTTTTGTTCAATATTCTATGGTCTTAAAAGAAAGCTGCTTACTTGATCATTGTAAATATTTTTGATAAAGAATGGATAATACTATATCAACAATCTTCTCAAAGAATCTCAACGATCCTAAAAGCGTAAAATATAGCTTTTTAATGGATTAGAAAATTAAGGTGGTCAATCCGAATTTGAGATGATGTTTGACTGGTAGTGATGCTTCTTTTATAAAACAGAAAAAATTGATGATAACTTGAATCTTATTTAAGGAGTAAAAATAAAATTGGCTTATCACCGTTTATTTTCACATATGCTTTGGATAATTGAGTGGATTTCTTTTGATTATATTATCTTTAACGCATGCAGAACCGGTGAATACTGTAAAAGCGTAAAGACACCAGATATACACTTCACATGTGAAATCTAGTCGAAGTGTATAAAAGACTCTGTACACGATGGCAAGCGGTTCTAATCCATAGTTTAAATTTCCCATCCAACTCATAATCTGAGTAGAAGTTTAGACTTGAGACCTTTTTATGTTCACACCAAATCTGCCTTTTACATACTAGTCTATACTTGTCAGCTATACAGACAAATTTTAGGAGTAGTTTTTAAGCATTTCTACCATGTTACTAATTCTACACTCTTTACTGGCAGAACGGACTGTTTGCAGATGATTTCATGGAAGGAAATACTAAAAGTGCTATCAGCAATGACATTTCCAGTTGTTCTTTAGGTATTCATCAGACGTATATTCCTTGTAAAATTTGGCTATCCTCATTGTATCTGTTCAAAATCGTTTTAAAAATTTATTCAGAAGGATGTTGCACTTAGTTGGCTTACAAGTTGTTGAATGTATATAGAAATATTTATGCCATATTTGGTAAGAATACAATTATCAAAAACAGGTCTCTATTTCATCCCTGATCGAAATATCTTACTATGTGCATAATATTCGTTCTGTTGTTAGCTTCCGGCTATAAATAAAGCGAGAATTTTTCCGCTTGCTCAGTTGCATTATAACAAGATGCAATATTAATTCAAAAGACCTACTTCAAAATGTGATTCCTTCTGCATTATAATATATTAACAGAAGGGTAAGCCATGATACCCTATGAACCAATGTCTGTTTGTTCTACAGGTAAAGGATAAAGAATAAAGAACACGTAATCCATGCAGTCAGTTTATATGGAATCGAATGATTTAAACAAATCTTCATCATGCACAACCAATCATTGAAAATCAAATCAAACCTAGAACTGTTAACAATTTTTCACAGCTTTTACAAATTATTTCTGCAGTAGTTACGTGATGAACTGCTTTGCGCTTAAGAGCTAATTGTCATCTTTCATGAAACTTCTTTGTAGTTTTGTTGTAAACTTGCGTAACAATAGGTTGAAGATATTTTAAGAATGCACGAGAGTACGTCTTACAAGTTGTTGACATTCGAATAATTAACATAACTACAAAAGAAAATTTGATGTAATATTTACGATGGAGAATTTTTAGTAGCACAAAATGTTAAGCAGGCTATCGCAAGTCACGTTTGAGCAAAAGGCTGTTACGTGTAACAAACAAATCAGCTTCAGTGTGCAAAATTTCTCATAGGGTTATCGGAGAACATTATGTCTACAGTATAAAACCTTTCTTTCCTTTGGGTTCTGTTAGTACTTCGCCAGCTTCAGTCGGTCATAAAATCTCCATGGAAAGAACATTTATTAAGGCGTTTAAGTCACAATGTGATGGCCAAGAAAAAATTTGTGTAAACTTCCTTCAACCATAAATTATTGCGTATTAGCCAGAGATTTCTTCCTTTGCTTGCTTAATAAAAACATTAAAATATGCCATCTGTTTACTGACACAAGATTCAAATGAAGTTTACGGGGTTTAACAAGTCTTTTCTAGTATTAAGTGGTACATACATTACCGTCGGCTATTGAGTATTTCCTGTTGAAGCCAGCACATGTGAACCTATATGCAACCTGTTCTTCATACATAAAGGATCATTTGAATACGAACTTAATTCTGTGACAGATGTATGAAACGAACTTTAAAAAGTACAGAGAAATGAATACATTAGTAAAATCGTGTACAGTCTAGCACATGGCCTTATTCTCTAAAACGAAACATGAAACTGGTAAGAAATTAGAATCTTATTACTTTGATACCCAGTTGTGTTTTCGATTTCACGCCGTTACTCTATCATTCCGGTCGAAATACTGATCGCTAATGAAAGTTTGGAAGAATAAAGAAGCGGTTGATGATAGCTGACTACGATTTAGCTTACGAGTTCTGCAATTTTTTTAAATTAGACCGACTTTTGGTAATTGAGGCTGTTGATTCTATTAGTCCAACTAGCAATCTGTTTTATTAGCCATCTGTGAAAGACAGCAGATTTTGAATTTTAGTAATCTCCTGATTGGTTGACTTTATTTTTCTATAAAGTGCCTCTTGTTCTACAGTTACACGGCCAACTGCAGCTGCATGCTGGTTTTAAGGTGGATGAAACTAAATGGCAAACCACAATGGATTGTTTGGCTACCACTTTAAGTGGGTCAAAGATCAAGTTCTATATATATTTGAGGTCATTCAGCAGTTTTTACAATATTAAATACATGCCTCTCCTTAAACTGTCAGCAATACTGGCACTATATCGGATATTCACAGTTTCCAACTATTGGCATAAGAAAGTTCATCAGTTAGGGGATCACTTGAAACCGGTATGTTGGGATTTTCTTTACACAATCGGTAGCCGCTAAGATTAGAATTTAGGATACTTCTTTCATTTTGTTTACGACTAGCGTGCTAGAATTACTTGCCTCCTAGCGAGTGATTCAAACCTAACATTCGTATTTTCAAAGATGCACGGGAACCCTTTTGGCAATAGTGGCTGGTCAGTTCACTCCAGTCAACAACTCAAAACTACATGTTATAGTATCGATTAATCTTTTGTTCGACTGATAATGAATGCATAACATGTTTTTCATGTCATTACAATCGTCACTTATAGCTTTTATAAAGGCGGTTATACAAGTCAATTTTGTAGTTTCCTTGTCATATCCAATAACATAGATGTTGTTTGGTGTCATTCCAGAGTAAGTGACTTCATTTTTGACGCCATCAATTTTCAAGGTCATGAATTCCGTCTGGGATATTGGTAAATGTGACTAGCTAAAAACATATTTGTTATTCTGTAGCTCAATTGGCTTAGGCTTTCACAGACAGTGATTTGAACAACAAATTGAGCGTTGCTTTCAATTTACTTTCATACTGTGATGATTTAATTAACGGGGGTTTTTAAAACTTGCAAATTCTAACCAAATATTAAATGCTAGTCAATTTGTAAAGGGGTTCTCTTGGATGTTTTCTATGTAATAAGAGTCTTCTTTTCGCAAGAAGTAATTTACTAGCAAACTTTATTTATTCTTGCGGCTTTCTTGTAAGTCAAGACTGTGAAGTTTCATGTAAGTGGTATACGGTTCTAGTTTGCAAAACGATTATAACCAATGCTATCTCTTTTTTCCGTTCAAATCTTGAACTGAAATTGGTTCGATCAGAACTATCTTGTAATAATCGACTTCATTTCTAGGTAAATTATTATTTTTGTTAGTTATGCTGTAACTTGTCATTTGTGAGTGATAATTCTTACTAATAGCACGTCTGACTTGCCTACACCTGAACGAGTGCCAATTTAAACAATTAAGAATAACAGTATTCAATACAATATGTTGCTATTTTCTCCAGCTAGCTTACAAACTTGTCAATACACTTAATGACGAGTTAATTATGTATATGAATTATCTAACACTAAAAAGCCTTCATTCTGAGAGTTTGAATGCAAGTCATGCCATTAATAATAAAACCAGTCGCCATTGATTTCTCACCAAATGGCTCTAACAACTTAATTAAAGAGATCACTTAAAAAACGTGCTATTTAGTTAACGGATGTATCAATAAATACAATAATTCTAATATGTTACAAATGTATAAAATCTTATTTGTATTCTTCTTTGGTCATAATATTACCCAATAGAACATTGTGATTTCCCAAACTGACATCACTTGAAGGAACGTTAAGAATCTCCGAGCAGTGGACAGCTATTTCGTCCTAGTATGAGATACCTTAGCAGTGCTCACTCATGATCCCGATAAAGGTTGAATCAGGGACGTTCAAGTTTCTTGGCAAGCACATTACCGCCGATCCACTCGGTCAGAATTCAGGGGTTCAGATTTTTCTACTGCCGTCAGTTCACGATGTAGTAGGGCGTTCATTCAGTGCAACCACTCAGTATGTGTTCTTGCACTCTACTTGGTTGACCTCTTAATTAATGGATTTGCACTACAACTTCAGGAAATGTGTCTTGAAGCATTTTCGTCACTAATGAGCGATGAACGGTAGTTTACTTTGGGGGTTAACGGGAATAGGTTGGGTGATAACTCGAGTGAATGTATTTGGCTTTGATGTTTTATATAAAAATCAAAACACCTTACCAATAAAACTGCTAAATTCAGACGAATTAAATTAGGGCATTTAGTAAATATCAAAGCATAGTTCAGTTATGCTGTTTCATATTTGAATAGCATGTAGTTGTCTACCTATGATTTGGAATAATGAAATGTAATTTAACCTGTCTTTCATAACCTATGACCCTCCGTAAGGTTAGACAATTTATTGTGCTTACTGTTCTGTTTTAAATTGTCAGTACTTTAG